CTCCAAAATACACATTTAAGTGTTTATTTTATAACACTTTATCTATTTGCATTTTTAGATTTCAAATACATGTTTTTTTAAAGGCCTGTTTGTATATAGGGTTAATTTTCGACTAAGTATAATGGTGCAATACTCAATATTTAGTCAAGTTCAAATTAGGGCTCATTTAGGTTTTAGGCTAAATTGTAATGCACAGGTGGTGTATAAATGGGAATGTTAACAGCTAGATTTCTCCAAGTATTATTGCCCTCCTTTGCCTGAACACCAGATCGGAAGCAAAGATGTAATTTATCAGAGTTCTGATCAAGGCCTAGGGATTGTTCAGTTTAATTTTCTGTAATATGGACTTTCCTATGTGATGTAATCTCTGTGCAGTTTTGCCTCAGTCTCTGCTCATGAGCGTTTGATTTTGAGAATCATGCTCTGGTGTACCTCACGTTTTACTAAGGGACATTGTAAGTAACTCTAGACAGAAGGACTGTGTTTTGCAATCAAAGGTATGGATAGATATGAGTGTGATGTGATATGCATGTAGGTGGGTGCCTGTATGGCCTTTTAATGGTCTTTGCAGCAATAACTAAAGCGTGGATATTTGTGAGATGGTTAAGATTAGCTCTCCGGAACTCTGCTTGTAAGGTTCATATATTCACACACACACACACACACACACACACACACAGACAGGTTTGTTTTTATGGTTTATGGGGACTCTCCATTGGCGTAATGGTTTTTATACTGTACAAACCGTATTTTCTATTGCCCTACACCAACCCTACCCCTTACAGGAAATGTTCTGCATTTTTAGATTTTCAAAAAAACTCATTCTGAATTATTTATAAGCCTTTTGAATTACGGGGACACTGAAAATAATACCTATGTCATACCCATGTTATTATACAAATTTGTGTCCTCATAAACCACATAAACATGCACACACGCACACACACACACACACACACACACACACATACACAAACAAATTTATAAGTGATCTGTGAAGTAGCGTTCAACTTGTGGGATTTATTGATCGTGTAGACATTATTAAACTCACTCAGAGTCACACTAAGAATTTCAGTGCTTGAACCTTGACATTAATTCCACGTATTTAGGTTTATGGTGTAAAGGTCAGTTTTTTGGCATAGCTGGGGTGTACTGTGTCATTATGAGCTGTCAGGGTTTATTCATTACTTCCATTGATTAATGGAAAGCATTACAGGGATTTATTGAGCTGGGGTGTAATGTAAGACTCAGATTATATAAATAGAGAGGGGTGTTTTTTCAGGTCAACACATTGAAATAACTTTTATTTAAAATAAAAGTAATTTATTGGAACCCAAAAGATGGTAGACAGCAGACATAGAGAAGTAATTGTTATGGGGCAGAGATCAGTTATCTCATAGCTGGGATGGACTGCGTCATTCATTATGAGTTGTATAGATACTGTATCTGACAGAGTAATTCCTGTCACCAGGGCCGTCCTTAGGGGGGTGCAACTGGTGCGGTCGCACCGGTCCCCGCGCTTGAGGGGGCCCCGCGGTGAATGGACCGAGGGGGACCCCCACCCCCACCCCCACCCCCCCGATTCCACGTATTTAGGTTTATGGGGTAAAGGTCAGTTTTTTGGCATAGCTGGGGTGTACTGTGTCATTATGAGCTGTCAGGGTTTATTCATTACTTCCATTGATTAATGGAAAGCATTACAGGGTTTTATTGAGCTGGGGTGTAATGTAAGACTCAGATTATATAAATAGAGAGGGGTGTTTTTTCAGGTCAACACATTGAAATTACTTTTATTTAAAATAAAAGTAATTTATTGGAACCCAAAAGATGGTAGACAGCAGACATAGAGAAGTAATTGTTATGGGGCAGAGATCAGTTATCTCATAGCTGGGATGGACTGCGTCATTCATTATGAGTTGTATAGATACTGTATCTGACAGAGTAATTCCTGTCACCAGGGCCGTCCTTAGGGGGGTGCAACTGGTGCGGTCGCACCGGTCCCCGCGCTTGAGGGGGCCCCGCGGTGAATGGACCGAGGGGGACCCCCCCCCCCCCCCCCACCCCCCCGATCGTAAAGCCCCGCGTCAGCTAAGGACGGCCCTGCCTGTCACACTCATTTATCCTGCAGTCCACGATAATTTAGTCATATGGCCAGACTAAATGTATCCCATGTATGTATCAAAATGTATCAAACTCTCTAGAACTTGGAGAATAAATGGTCTACATGAAGAATCAAATGTAGCCATAGTATTATGCATTATTACACATATTGCACAATTACGATATTGCGTATACATATAGCATTATGAGTGTTATATAGTAATGTATACTGCTTTGTATTCACATGTGAAATTTTAAATGAGAAAAACTGAAATAGTATTTTCTTGTAAAATGTACTCCAATAATATTTTATTTACAACTTTGAAAAATCTGTTTTACAGTGTAGTTCAGGCTTACAAGTTTTTGTCAAGGTTTGTTTGGTACCAATAGGGTACCTGTATACAATGCACAAGGGATTTCTGAGGGGAACGCACTGATATGCTGTATGTTTCAAGAAATGATTGTCCATAAACAGCAGTGGATGATGGAATGTTCCCACCATAAATGTCAGTGTATTGTTCTTATGATTTTATGACTTGCACTTTATAGCTTTTAGTGTTATGTACAATAACTTGTGTCTATGTTGTGTCTCTTTTTGCTGCGTACAGTAATTTAATTTTGATTTGACTGACTATAAAATGTGGTCGCAATGTCAGTCTGTTTTCATTGCTGTAAAACTGTTATATCACTCTGGCTGTCCTAGGTTTCCTTGGTTCATTGAACTCAATCCTTTTTATTGGACCAGTGCACTGGCACAGTTATTTGATTGGGCGGACTGATTACAAACACGGGATATGACATGATGCTGTAGAGTAGCATAGCCTCCAAAAAGGATACCTTTTACACATGCAAAACATAGCATCTCTATTCTGTTTTCAGTCTTTTCCTGAAATTGTTGTTGTAAATTAAATTAATTTCAGTCAATTTTGAGGTCTGTGCTCAAATCACAAACAGTAAACTGTAAGTCTGAAAAAATTTGTATCTAATTTAATAAAGATAATATGCATTACCAAGACCTATCAAAGCTTGTGTAACAAAAACAAGGCAGGCTGTACAGGATTATTGGAAATGGTTGGCTTTCCAGATAACAGCAGTGTCTGCAGTGTTTATGTGCTCTTTGTGGAACCACTGCTACAAGTCAGCAAGACCTTATGAATTAAGGCTCTCATTCAGTTATGTGGGCCTTACATGAAGTCAAAAAGGCTTTATTAAATTAATTAATTTATGATTTACGTTCAAACATTCCCAATGCTCCAGGTCATGACTTCTGCTCTTAATTTAAGCCCATACTTAAAGTGTTGAATTTTTAAGTTAGAACATAGATTTGTTTTTTGTTTTGAGTTTGGAGATCCATGATGCAACAGTAAAAGTATTGAGATTAAATATAGGCCATCATTCCAGTGTTTAAAAATGACCTCTGACCTATTTGTATTCATAAACAAGTGACAGGACATCATATGGTCAGGGGAAATTTTAGAGCTGGTATGTTGTGCAGCAAGAGATGGTAAACAAATAATGACCTCAGGATAAAGGAACTGAGAAGAAGAGGTTCTTTCTGTTGCATTTAATAGGCATTAGAGTAAACAGCCTAATTTAATTTAATTTAATTTAATGAGCAATTATTGGCTAAGTGCAGGAAAACACATTTGTACACTTTCAGACAAACACACAGTTGAACTGCTGAAACTGGGGTAGATGTTTTAGACTTTCTATTCACAAACTTCAAGGACATTTTCTGTGAATGATTTAGAAATGATGACTTCAGAACGCTCACAGGATACAGTTGTTTTATCTTACTGGATGAATATTACCCCAGCCTCACACAATATTGTTTTTTTTTTTGTTTGTTTTTTTTGTCGTTGTTGGGAATGTGACCACATGGAACCATGTACAGAGCCATGGGTTCATGCACAACTGGTACAAAAGCGATTTTATTCAAGTGGAGGGGAAATTATTTACAGAATGACAGTAAATTTTGTGAATAGAGGCTAATGTGATGGTAATTCATTCAAGAGTATATGTGGCCAAGGTGAGATCATGTTTTTGAGAGAGAATAGAGGGCATGTCACTGCAAATAGAATCAGTTTGTTTGTTTTGTCGTTGTTGGGAATGTGACCACATGGAACCATGTACAGAGCCATGGGTTCATGCACAACTGGTACAAAAGCGATTTTATTCAAGTGGAGGGGAAATTATTTACAGAATGACAGTAAATTTTGTGAATAGAGGCTAATGTGATGGTAATTCATTCAAGAGTATATGTGGCCAAGGTGAGATCATGTTTTTGAGAGAGAATAGAGGGCATGTCACTGCAAATAGAATCACGGTTCACTGCAGAGGGGAACACGGTCTACTTTGGATGGGGAGAAAAAGGCTTAAACGGCATTAAAGGAATAATAAGAAATGAAAACTCTGTCATCACATTAAGTCATTCCAAACATATGACTTTCTTTCATTTGTGAAACACAAAAGAATAATCTTCTGATGAACATCCTGACTAGTCTTTTATAATGAAAGTGAATGGTTGAATGGTTGAAGGGTTGTTTAGTTCCAAAATAACAAAAAAGTACCATAAAACTATCATTAAAGTAGTCCACGAGACTACATTTTTCTTTTTTCAACAACAAATCAAAATGTAAGTTACAATTACTCTGTTCAGGCTTTACAATCCTTTTATGAACTATATTAGATTCAGAATATGTCCCAGGCTCCCAGCACTATGACTACATTGCCTCAGCACTGTCTTTAATAATGCTTGCAGACAGCCTTAGTAAAATGATAGGCTAATTCATTATGTTAAGGAGTAGTGTAACGAATCAGCTCATGGGAAATATGAATAATTAATCATAACTAGTTATAATTAATTATGAATATTTTAGAGCCGCTGTAGATATTTAGCTGACCTCTCAGGGTCAACTGTCTTGTCAATTCTAAGAACTTTAATTTCCTGGTTAAAGGAAATAACTTTCTTACTGTACAATTCTACAAAAGCTTGTAGCATAAATCTGCATGATTAAACATGTAAGTTTCCAGCTGATCTTTGCTGAAGTTGGTCAATGAAAAAACCAGTTTTGAGTCAGAGGATCTTGATGAATGGAAAGGACAAGGCCGAAGCCTGGCATGAGCTTAGGATGTTCTGGAGCGTTGGAGCGTCTTATCGAAACCTAACAGAACCACCGACTGGGTGGGTCCCTGGAGCGGGGCCTTTAAGGTCGGAGAAGATCCCCGCCTCTCAAGATGGGGTTGTTCAATGAGAAAGATGGAAATTCCAAGCGGGAGGTGGCAATTGCTGGAGGGTTTTATGACCCTTTGTCTCTAAGCATGGTAATTTGCAAATGGACTTGAATCGAAATTACTAAAGATTCTCAGGACCCTAATATATATTGCATATGTACCAACATATAATATACATGCTTGTTTCGATCATATGAAGGCGAATTCATAGATACTAAACAAGGTAGGATTACATATAGTGAAAGGATGACAGGAATGGGTTCCCTCATAAGCATGCCTAAAATAGTCTAAAAATATCAAAGACAACATACACCATGACCTGAAGGATACACTGTTCATTCAAAGAAAGGTTTTCCTATGAATTAATTAGTAGAAAAGTCAATTTCTACTGTGCATTTGGGCCTCTTGCTTCTGGAAAATGCAGCTGAGAGTCTCTGCTCACATTCCACAAGGTCGTAAAAGTATCTGGTGTCAGGGTTGTTATGGAACCAGGGGCCTGTTCGGCTTCCTGGTGTGTTACAGAGTATTTGTTAAATCTAGCTAACAAAATATATATTGTGTGTTTGAGTGGTCCAGATGCTACAGTAGAATGTTATGGACCTTTTTACGAGAAACAAGAGGTTTCTTTTAGAAGTATTGTTTCCCATAAGGCCTGCTGTGGTTTGGTGGCTAGCTACGAATAAGATGGGCTTTCCCTTCTCAGAGCTCCCACTGAACTGCACTCTGAAGAACCCTCCTGCTGGGGCTATGTCAATATGATCTTTTTGAAAACAATTTACTCTGTTACTGTCACAATTATGGACTTCTGTGTTTCATTTCCTGTTCTCCTGTTTAGTTTTGTTTCGTGACCTAGTTTTCCTTAGTTCCCTTGATTAGTTCATTCAGTTCACCTGTGTCCTGTTGATTTAGTCATTATTCCATCTCTTGCTTTTGTATAAGTACTCCCCGTTTCTGTTCAGTCCTGGCCAGTTATTGTATTGTCTATGATGTTTGATGTTGATTTGCTTGTGTTTGGATGTACCCCTCTTCAGAATTATCAGTAAAGTCCTTGTTGGATTATTCTTTTTGTCGTGCTCTTTGTATTGCACCAGCACCCGTGACAGTTACTAAAACTAATTAATAATGTGTAATTATTGGGATCATTTAGTAATAAAGTGGTAGTATCTTTGCAATGCTAACCGTATTTCTTTAAATCATCAGCACCTTCTAGCAACCATACATTTTATTTTTAAATATAGAGGTTCTTTATTGGTGTTTATGGTTCCACAAAGAAACTTTAACATCCATGGAACCTTCCCTTATGAAAATTAACCATGGTTTTACTACAAAAAAACAACAAAACCACGGTTACTATAGTTAAACCATGGTAACTACAAATTAACCATGGTTTTGCTAAACTAACCATAGTTAGGTAACTGTGGTTATACAAATGGTAATCCACGTGCCAAAAAACATGGTTATTACAAGGCTTTCCATTACACAAAATGTTCTTCACACTAAGAAAAAATAGCTACTTTAAGAACTGTTCACTGAAAGGTTCTTTGGGGAACCAAAAATGGTTCTTCTATGGCATCGCTGTAAAAACCATTTAAAGCAGTAAAATTACAGCACAGTTCCTTTAAGGCAGCCATTTTGGTAATATTTCAGGTTAGCTGCTGAATATGCCTACTTTATAGCTGTTGAAAAGCTGTTGAGTAGTATGCCCGAATTCATAGTACTCAAAACAGCATACAAAACTTACATGCCTGACCTACTACTTCCTAACAAAATTCTTTAGAGCACATCCAATAGACAGTTTACCATCCCATGAGGCCAAGGGAGAGGAGCTGTGAATTGCAATGAAGTGACGCAACTTAATCTAGTAGGTCACATGACAATGTGACAAGTACGTCCGCATCAAGTTCATACTACAGACATTAATACTATACTGCATATAGAATAATCAAAAGAAGTACATACTGTATGTGATTTCAGGGATTTTCTAAGTATGTGAGTACAGTGCGTTTTTATATAAATAAAGAACCGTCTCCTCCCGCTTATAATGTCTTTATGATCAAGTAGTTAACTACACTCTGAGCTACTAACCAAAAGTAGAACTACTTTGAAACTACTTCTATTTAAAAGTATATAACAGATTATGTAATTATTATGCTATGGGAACAAAGAACAAATGTTTGAGAATGAAGAAGGCAGTTTTTATATTTCACAAAAAAAAGACAAGCAGTACTATATTACAAACTATATACAGTATATGAAATACAATTCTTGTAAATATAATTACTTTTAATATCTATTTATAACGTTTCAAGTTAACTTTTTATATATGCTATTATATGCTATCCTTAAATTTAGTTAGTTACCCCTCAACATTGATGCTGACAATGTCAGTTCTGTGACATTGACTGCACCAAAGAGCTATGACCTACTACAAAAATGTTCAGCAGAACTTTGCTTACATCACAGCAAACTTATCATGCTATCTGTTATGACAGCATCACATCATAACAGTTATCTGACAGTAAGTGTCAACACCGGGTCAACGGTATTATCCCTGGACCAACTGAATAAACAGGGTACTCAGTTCCATGCTGGTGCTGCTAGCTCTCATGCTAGATCCACTATTATCATGGCATGCTCCATGGCTAACTGGAAACATTAGTCTGCTGTAACAGCAAACTCGAGGGAAGACCACAGATATTCCCTTTGAATGTCTGCTTTCATGTCCTCCGCTCCTTTCCCTTCATGAACTCTGACGATTGTTGAGGGCCGTGAGAATTTAAACAAGCAATTGTGTAAAAAAAGTTTAAGCAAGAGGGTCAAATAAAGTTTTGCTGTTTATACTAACTAAAGGTATAGAGGTGATAATATAACTATTTTAAGTAAATACACAAACTACTTTTTTTTTTTTTTTTTAAAGTTTGGCCACTATTCATTCTCATTGTAATTATAATTTGCAAATTGTTTCCACTTCTTAAAATAACAGTAAAGTCATCAAATTTTGAAAAAGCTGAGAAATGAAAGTGAAATTATGACCAAAATTGTTAAACAAAGCAAAACTGTCTTGTTTAAAATATATTCAATTTCATTAGCATTCAAATTTATTTAAATAAAAATGACACATTTAAATGAATTCATAAATGAACAAATGAAATAAATAAAATTTAAATTATGTAGTGACCAAAAGTGTTAAACAAAACTAACATATAGATGTTGATGTTAAACATCTTGTTTTAAATATATTATGTAACATTCAAAAGTTAATAAAAAATAATACATCCATCTATGTTCCAAACTGATTGTCCTAAAATAAATAAAACGAATTACGTAGTGACCAAAAATGCAACAAAGCAAAAATATATGAAATATTATTAGCATTATTATCACTTGCAGAACAATAATTAGCAATAATCCATTGTGGAGACTTGAAGTGTATGAAGTCAATTACCTCTGATCTGAATGAACAAACGCTGATCTCATGTCTATTAATTCTCCGGTGTAATTGAGAGGACACTGCAATGGCAGTGCATTCCTCTCTTAACTCAGACAAATAGAAATACATATTGGATAATAGACTGAGTGTGTTGTTTTTGTTCATTCTTTCAATTTGTTTCCAAAGTTACAAAGTCTAGACAAACACTTATATATGTAGGATCATGTTAAATTTGTTACACTACTGTTCAATTCATGTTTATTCATAATAATGTAAATTTTTACTTGAATTGCTAAAAATGTATATGTAGAAATTAACATTAATCTAGAGTAATAAATGCTAATAAATACTGTTTGATAACCAAAGAATTGACAGTGGCCACTGATTTCCATAGTATGGAAAAAATACTATGGAAGTCAATGGCAACCATCAAATGTTACCAGCAAATATCTTCTTTTGTGTTTAGCAGAAGAAAGAAACTCATGCAGGTTTGGAGCAAGTGGAGGGTGAGTAAATGATGAAAGAATTTTCATTTTGGGTTAACTACCTCTTTAATTTGAACAGATTTCATTTTATTGTAAAGTGTTACCAAATATATTTTAATTTTGTGAAGCTCACAGTCTATTGAAATCGACAGGATCACATCTTTGTGTGAGATTTTAAAACACATACTGTGTGGAGGTTTAACAAGATGTGTGTTTAACCCCTCTCCCCTTCCTCTGTAATGGAGGGTTCATTTACTTCAAAGTGACCTCAGCCGCTGTAAAAATATGATGTATTTTCCTGTCGGAGGTTGAGACTTTGACACTGAGTTTAGTCTGTAATGTTCAAGGGAATGGTTTTCAAATTTCACAGCGGCCAACCTGATATTCATGCACAGAGACAAATACAAGATGGGTGAAGATTCTGGGACAGAGGAACTCTTGACCTGCAAGAAGGGGGCAGGGAAGCATTGCTTTTGTTGGGGGTTCAGTGTGGACAGTCTTGTCTAAATCTCCAGACACTCCCTGTGCCGTTAGTGGCACACAAACCACAACTGCTCTCCCTGACGGCGTCATGCACTCTCCCTTCCGTAAATGGCAAGCTTTTCCTGCCTGTCATGCAAACAGTATGGATGCCGTCTAGACGTTCTCTAATTAGAGCATGTGTAAAATAAGGAAGCCTGCACCTGAGCTAAAGTGAGGTGGACATTGCTGAATGCTGCCCAAATGGAAGAAAAAAGGAGAAAATCTCAGCCAGATGTTATG